CCAAACATGAGATTGCTAATAGAGGTTTTAATGTTTAGGCAGCATCAACAGACAAGAAGTTATTACTATTATTGGCAAGGATTGTATGGATATATTTTTGAGATGGAGTCTCACTCTGTTGCCCAGACTGGAGTGCAGTGACTCATATTCAGCTCACTGTAACCTCTGCCTACTGGGTTCAAGCGATTCTCCTGCATCAGCCTGCTGAGCAGCTGGGATTACAGGCATGAGCCACCATGTCTGGCAAATTTTTTGTATTTTTGAGAGACGGGGTTTCACCGCGTTGGCCAGGATGGTCTCGAACTCCTGTCCTCAAGTGATCTGCCAGCCCCGGCCTCCCAAAGTGCTGGGATTACAGGTGTGAGCCACCCTGCCTGGCCAGATTTATTATTTTAAATGACAATTATCAATGGAATTGTTTTCATAGTATCCTATTAGGTTATTTTTGCTAGTTTATAAAAATAAAAGTGACTGAGTTTTGATTATGTATCCTACAACTTTCCTGAGTTTATTAGCTTTTGTAGCTTTCCTATATAGGATCATGTCATCTGTGTATAAAGATGCTTTTCTCCCCTTCAACTCAGTTTCCTTTTTTTCTTTTCCTTGTCTAAGTACTCTGGTTAGAAATCTCCAGTACAATGTTAAATAGCAGTGGTGAAAGCAGGCATTCTTGTCAAGCTCCTGATTTTAGGAGTAAAGCTTTTGGTCTTTCAACATTGTCACCACTGAGTATGATGTTAGCTTTGGTTTTGTTTTTTTTTTTTTTTTTTTTTTTTTAGATGGAGTCTTACTCTGTCGCCCAGGCTGGAGTGCAGTGGTACAATCTCGGCTCACTGCAACCTCCGCCTCCTGGGTTCAAGTGATTCTCCTGCCTCAGCCTCCTAAGTAGCTGGGACTACTGGCGCCATGCCATGCCTGGCTGATTTTTTCCTTTGTTTAGTAGAGATGGGGTTTCACCGTGTTAGCCAGGATGGTCTTGATCTCCTGACCTGGTGATCTGCTTGCCTCGGTCTTCCAAAGTCCTGGGATTATAGGCGTGAGCCACAGCGCCTGGCAGCTGTGGGTTTTTAATAAATGCCCTTTATCATGTTAAGATAATTCCCATCTAGTCATAGCTTTCTGATTGTTTTTATCATGAAAGAGTGTTAGGTTTTGTCAAATCCATTATCTGTGTCAATTTGGATGCCTATTTTCTAATAATATGTCATTTCGAAATGCAAATCTGTTCAGTTCATTCCACTACTAAGAAGGTTCTGTTTTTTTGTTTGTTTTATAAACATGTGTTATTCTCTGAACCAAGTAACATACTTCTGTGGCCTAATTTTTTTTTTTTTTTTTTTTTGAGACAGAGTGTCGCTCTGTCGCCCAGGCTGGAGTGCAGTGGCGCGATCTCAGTTCACTGCAAGCTCTGCCTTCCGTGTTCACGCCATTTTCCTGCCTCAGCCTCCTGAGTAGCTGGGACTAAAGGTGCCCGCCACCACGCCCAGCTAATTTTTGTATTTTTAGTAGAGACGGGGTTTCACCGTGTTAGCTAGGGTGGTCTCGATCTCCTGACCTCATGATCCGCCTGCCTCGGCCTCCCAAAGTGTTGGAATTACAGGTGTAAGCCACTGCACCCGACCCTGTGGCCTAATTTTTATGCTCTATTCTTCATCAAAACAAGGCTGAGGTAGGTAGAATAATGGTTCCCCCAAAATGTTCACATGGTAATCTCTGGAACCTGTGAATTTTAGGTTCTATGTCAAAGAGAGGTTAAAGTTGTTAATCAGCTGACCTTAAAATAGGGAGATTATTCTGGATTATCCAGGGGAGCCCAATGTAATCACAAGGGTCCTTAATAGTGGAAGAGGGAGGCATAAAATTAGTTAGAGGAGATGTGACTTTGGAAGAAGGGCCCAGAAAAATGAGACATTGACATTGCTTTGAAAATAGAAGAGGGAAGTCCAAGGGAAAAGATTGGCGTTTAGTAGCTAGAAAGAGCAAGGAAAGGGACTTCTCTTAGAGCCTCTAGAAGGGAATGCAGTGCTGTCAACACATTGATTTTAGTCCTGTGAGAGACATGATAGACTTTGACCTACAGAAATGTAAAATTATAAGTTTGTGATGTTTACACCAAGTTTATGGTATTTTATTACAGTAGCAATAGAAAACAAATACAAGTACCCAAGCAAATTTTATTCTACTATTTATATGTTGGCTTATTTTTCCAGTAAAACTTTTTTTTTTTTTAAGATGGAGTTTCGCTTTCATTGCCCAGGCTGGAGTGCAATGGCGCAATCTCAGTTCACTGCAACCTCCGCCTCCCGGGTTCAAGCGATTCTCCTGTCTCAGCCTCCTGATTACAGGTGCATGCCACCACGCCCGATTAGTTTTTGTATTTTTAGTAGAGACGGAGTTTCATCATATTGGCCAGGCTGGTCTCGAACTCCTGACCTTAGGTGATTTGCCCACCTCCGCCTCCCAAAGTGCTGGAATTACAGGTGTGAGCCACCGCACCCGGCCAGAAGAACTCATTTCTACATTTCCCATAGGTTGTTTAAATTGTTACTGTTAAAGGAAAGCTCATCTCAAAGCTTCCTCAACAACAAAGCCTTTTATCTTCCACCCCACCTTCCATGCATTCACTGCCCAAATATACCAAGTTTCTCTTTTCTTTTTTATTTTTTGAGATGGAATTTTGCTCTTGTTGCCCAAACTGGAGTGCGATGGCACAATCTCGGCTCACCGCAACCTCCGCCTCCCAGGTTCAAGTGATTCTCCTGCCTCAGCCTCCCGAGTGCTGATTACAGGCATGCACTGCCACGCCTGGCTAATTTTGTATTTTTTGTAGAGATGGGGTTTCTCCATGTTGGTCAGGCTGGTCTTGAACTCCTGACCTCAGGTGATCCACCCGCCGTGGCTTCCCAAAGTGCTGAGATTACAGGCGTGAGCCACCACGCCCGGCTCTCTTTTTATTTTTGTTTTTGGTTTTTTTTTTTGAGACAGAGTCTCGCTCTGCCGCCCAGGCTGGAGTGTAGTGGCGTGATCTCGGCTCCCTGCAACTTCTGCCTCCCGGGTTCAAGGGATTCTTCTCCTGCCTCAGCCTCCTGAGTAGCTGGGATTACAGGTGCCACCACACCCAGCTAATTTTTGTATTTTTAGTAGAGACGGGGTTTTTTCATCATATTGGCCAGGCTGGTCTAGAACTCCTGACCTTGTGATCTGCCCACCTTGGCCTCCCAAAGTGCTGGTATTGCAGGTGTGAGCCACCGTGCCCGGCCTCTCTCTCCTTTTTTCTGTAGTAACTTTTTATATGCCTTATGGTATCTAACCATAAGGCAGTGTTTTAGAATATAATATTTTGAATTAATTTTATTTTAAAAATATTTTATATTGATAATGGTTACATATATATTCGTATAGTTTCTATGTGTCTAAATTTGGGTTGTATACGTAAGATTTTTGTACTTTATGTAGTTATACCTCCAGTTTTTTAAAAATGTAAATCTTGAGTCATGTGTAGTAACACACCCTAGAGTCCCAGCTATGGGACTACTGAGGTGGGAGGATCACTTGAGGCCAGGATTTAGTGGCTGCAGTGCTCCGTGATTGTGCTTATGCATAATCACTGCACTACAGCCTAGGTAACATAGTGAGACTCCTATCTCTAAAAACAGAAAGAAATAAAATAAATAAATAAATCTTACCTTCCATGTTAGGCTAAGTCCCAAGAGAAAAGTCACTATATTTTACCCAACTTTGTCTTTTCTATTGAATTGTGTTCTGTATTGCATATGGTAGGCAATCCCTATGTGTATGAATTAACCTAAATGTACTTGTGGATTAAGTTGTATAAATTTATGAAGCAAAATATAATAGCCATAGTGGGAAGTCATTCTAACCATATCTTGAGGATGTTAACATTTGCTGTGAGGCATATTTTTGGTTTATATAAGCCATGGTTATTGATACAGCATCTATCTGAGTAGATACTAAGCAAGGTTAGATTTTTTTCTTCCTTTTTATGTACTCTAGGTGCACAGATATATCTGAAAACAAAGGGATATCTATTTGGTTGCTTCTAAGACAATTGAATCTTGATTTATTATGTTTGTCTTTTTTTTTTAAAGATGGAGTCTCATTGTGTTGCCCAGGCTGGAGCACTATCTCGGCTCACTGCAAGCTCCGCCTCCCGGGTTCAAGCGATTCTCCTGCCCCAGCCTCATGAATAGCTGGGATTATAGGGGTGCACAACCACGCCCGGCTAATTTTTGTATTTTTAGTAGAGATGGGGTTTCACCATGTTGGTCAGGCTAGTCTCGAAGTCCTGACCTCATGATCCACCCACCTTGGCCTCCCAAAGTGCTGGGATTACAGGTGTGAGCCACCACACCCAGCCAATTTTTGTATTTTTAGTAGAGACGGGTTTCGCCATGCTGGTCTCAAACTCCTGACCTCACGTGATCCACCCGCCTTGGCCTCCCAAAGTGCTAGGATTACAGGCGTGAGACAGCGCACCCAGCCCCAGTCAATTTTTTATCAGGATTGTACTATAGGAATAGTAAGTCTTCTCACTAGAAAATATACCTTGGAGATTGGTCAAAATAAATATTATATTTAAAAAATGCTTAATTATTATTTATCTTTGATGTTGAACATAAAAAGCAGAATTGTTTTCTCCTTTGATGGAAAAACAGTTTCTAGGAATAAAAGAAACTTTAGAACCAATGTCCCTTTTTGTACATCACTTTTTGAGTATTTACTGAATGTAATGTTTGTGTCTCGTAGAATGGAGATGTATGCATTTCAATTCTTCATCCGCCTGTAGATGACCCACAGAGTGGAGAACTGCCTTCTGAAAGGTGGAATCCTACTCAGAATGTGAGGTAAGGTGTTACATAAGGAAGAATCTGGTTTTGGAGTTATTCTTAATCTCCTTTTTGTGTTTGCCCCTAGTAAAATAAAATTACGTATTGTCTTTTAACATGTAAAAAATCATCTTTCTTATATTCAGTTGTTTTGTCTTCAGCTAGAGCTTTAAGAAATATGTATGCATCATTTTGAAGAGCTGTATTTACTAAACCATAATATATATGATTCTCATTTCCCTATGTTCACTTAGGAATAGATATTCAAGACTGAATCCCTACTCTTACCTTATCCTAGTTATACTTTGGTTCTTTATTACCATCTAACATTAGTATCATTCATTAGTTGCAGTTAATAAATAATGTTAATTCATTTTTACTAACCGAAGTTCATACCCTTTCTCATTTCCTTGGTTTTTACCTGTCGTTGTTTTGCTCCAAAATCTTTCATATGTATAAATATATATGTATATATGTATGTGTATACGTATATGTATTTAAATTTTTTTAGAGATGGGGTCTTACTAAGTTGCCCAGCTGGTCTCAAACTCCTGGCCTCAAGCAGTCCTCCCTACTTGACCTCCCAAAGTGCTGGGATTATAGGCATGAGCCACTGTGCCTTGCTCATCACATTATATTTAATAGTCATGTCTCCATAGGCAACTCCTCTCTCTCTGTCTCTGTCTCTCTCTCTCTCTCTCTCTCTCTCTCTCTCTCCCCGTCTCTCATATTTAAGACAGTGTCTTGCCCTGTCACCCAGACTGGTGTGCAGTGGTGCGATCACAGGTCACTGCAGCCTGTACCTCCTGGGCTCAAGTGAGCCTTTCACCTCAGCCTTCCAAGTAGCTGTGACTATAGGTGTATGCCACCATACCTAGCTATTAAGCAACTCTTGACTGTAAATTTTCTCGTTTTTGATGACAGTTTTGGGGGGTACTGATCAGGTATTTTGTACAATGTTCCCCAGTTGAGATTTTTCTTATGTGTTTTCTCATGATTAGTCTAGGGTTATAGGTTTGGGGAAGAAAGACCAGAGAAGTAATGTGCCATTTTCATTATGTCATATCTGAAGTACTTACTATCAGTGTGGCTTATCCTTCCTGATGGGATACCTTTCATCAGCTGCCTGAGATAATGTGTTTAGCTTTTCTCCACTATAAAGTTGCTCTCTCCTGAACTTTTCATTCTGTACTCCTTGGAAGGAAGTCATATGCATAGCCCACAACTAAGGAGAGGGTGGCTATACCTCCGTGAAGCCAAGGTATCTATATAAATTATTTTGAATTCTTCTGCATGGATTGATACTATTCTTCTCCCTTTATTGGTTTATTCAATCATTTGTTAAACATTTTTACTGATACAAAAACTAGTAACTTGATAAGAATCTCCAGGTTTATCAAAAGTGAAGAATTGGAAGCTTCCTGACTTGTAAAAGAAGCTCTTCAAGATGTATCAAATGACTGTTGATAAAGAGTTGAGAAAATAGATATATTAAAGATTTCAGCACATCTTACCAATATATTTTTTAAGACAGAAATGTTACTTTCTTTTTAAATTCAAATAAATGTGTTACATCTCACCTTGACAACCATCATCCCTCTGAATTTTTTTTTCTTATATTTCTTTTTTTTTTTTTTTTTTAAAGACAGGATCTTGCTCTGTCGCCCAGGCTGGCATGCAGCGGCGCGGTCACGGCTCAGCGCAGCCTCAACCTCCCGGGCTTGAGCGATCCTTCCACCTTAGTCTCTCAGGTAGCTGGAACCACAAGTGTGCATCATGGTGCCTGGTCAATATTTTGTATTTTTTTTGTAGAGAGATGGGATTTTGCTTGGTTTCCCAGGCTGGTCTCAAACTGCCGCGCTCAAGCAATCCACTTGGCATCCCAAAATGCTCAGATTATAGGTGTGCCCCAGAGCACCTGGACTAATTAAAAAATTTTTTTTGTAAAGATGGGGTCTTACCATGTTGCCCAGGCTAGTCTCAAACTCATGGACTCAAGTGATCCCCCTGCCTCAGCCTCCCAAAGTGTTGGGATTACAGGTGCTCACACTACACCCAGCCTTCTGAATCTCTTATCTATACAAGAATAATACCTACCTCAGTAGGTTGTTAATAAAATTTAAGTGAATAACGCATGTAAACCTACTAGAATGGTGGATATTACCTGACTGGCTTGGGTTGCAGCTATATTTTCAAGGAATTTTTTGGGTCTAATGTGAAGCAGTCATTTGCTATCTATTAGAAGAGAAGCACATTTCTTAGTTCCTCATGTTTATTTCATTTTGGTACAGGGAGACATAATTACTAGATGCCTGTATCATAACCAATTCAAGTAGTACATAATTTATCTTGGGTGTTAAATACAGGAAAATAACTAAAATAATTGCTTTGAACTGTTTTTGAGATACTCTATAATTGAGAATACACTCTTTTTTTGAGGGGAAAAGTGTCCTACATAGCAAATTATGTATACATGAATTATCTCAATAGACTCAATTTTAAATTAGTATTAAAAATTCTGAGTTTTAGGCTGGGCGCAGTGACTCATGCCTGTAATCCCAGCACTTTGGGAGGCCGAGGTGGGCAGATCACCTGAGGTCGGGAGTTCGAGACCAGCCTGACCAACATGGAGAAACCCTGTCTCTACTGGGAACAAGAGTGAAACTCATCTCAAAAAAAAAAAAAAAAAAAAAAATCTGTGTTTTATGTATCTATATTACTCAAGAGCATGTTTGAGGGTGCTATGTCTTCAGAAGTAACTGTAGCACATTTTTGACATTATAATTAGACATGTGTATAAAAGGTTTTTTTTTTTTTTTTTTTGAGACGGAGTCTCGCTCTGTCGCCAAGGCTGGAGTGCAGTGGCCGGATCTCAGCTCACTGCAAGCTCCGCCTCCCGGGTTCCCGCCATTCTCCTGCCTCAGCCTCCTGGGTAGCTGGACTACAGGCGCCCGCCACTCGCCCGGCTAGTTTTTTGTCATTTTGGTAGAACGGGTTTCACCGTGTTAGCGCAGCGCTGGTCTTGATTCCTA